AAAGCATATCTATAGTTATAAAAAAGTCTCTATAAAGCATTTTTCTTGTAGTGTTATATCAACACGTATATATACTTGTATTTGTGATTAATTATTTTTTTAAGTAATAGATGATGTACCTAAATAACGATGTATCTGTGATCTGTGATGAAGTTTAATATTAAGATACAATCTTTCCATTGTGTTTATTGGAGTTATGCATGTACTGATGTGTGTTTTTATAATCATGAGTATGCGTATTAACTTAACATTTGTGTGAAGGAATTTTCTATACATTTGTCGACAAATTTTCTTTTAGAAATTTAACAAATGTAATTATAGTACAATTGCGATATAATTACACTGTAACTTTCCATCTAACTATAATACAACTTGTATGTAACTTTCAAAAGTCTCTATGTAACATGCTATATTTCGGCGAAATGGGGGTTGTGGGAACAAATCCTCTCACACGTGTGCGAGCACTTTTTTCCTTCCGCACTTGCACAAATCTTGAAACAAATCTAACAGTTCAAAATTACGTGAAAGTTACATACAAGTTAAATATTGTAGTTACATGTAAGTTATAGCGTAATAATATGTAAGTTTCAATCTAATTATATTATGATTATGCTATAATTACATCTGTCAAATTTTTAGGAGAATATCTATCAACAAATATATAGCAAAATTGGTTTGTAATAATGTATTTCTGAAAAACATACGCCCTCCGTACTAGTAAAGAAAGCCATTTAGAACAATGTTTAAGTTAAACCTTGGAAATATAAATCATGAATAACTTAGTTTGAAAATGTAAAAATTATATGAATAAATTTGTCTTGAAAAATACGTTTATAAATCATACATATATCACTTTTCAATAAATATTTTTATAGAAAAAATTTAAAATTGTGTTATGAAGACCGTGTCGCTGTCCAAAACGCCTCCTTTAGGAGTACGTGTGTACGTACGCACGTGTACGCAACGACGCGCGCCACACCACCCACCGCCCGCGTGGCCCCGCACGTCAGAGGCCGCTGCTGCACAGTCGCGCACCGCCACGCTGCCACGTAGGCGCGGGTGGAGTACGGACCCCAGTCCCCAGAAGAGACGTCTCAAAAGTCAAAAGCCGTACGATAGGGGAGCCGCCTTGTCAGCGTCGTACACATCCAAAGGACGCCGCTGCTGCCGTCAACACGGGGACTGTTCAAACCGCAGGAAGGACTGCAGGAGACGCTGGTGGTTGAGGGCCCCCACGTGTCAGACCTCCGGTCAAACGCTCGTCTATAAAAGATTTTTCTTTCTTACAACGGTCACTGGTCTTCATGTCTAGTAGTTGGGATAGTTTGGACTGAGTTCCTAGCTCCATTCCCTTATTTCTCACGTGCATATTTTTCAATATATATGCTAAATGGTGTACCTTCTGCAAAAAATTTGAAAGTTGTTTTAAAAATCATATTTATCTCATTTTATTTTTTAAGCTAACATTTAATTAATTATACGATAATAAACTTTTTTTTCCGTGCTAGAAGGGAAGGTTTCTAACCGACACAAACGAACGCATCTATGTGTATTTAGTACTGAATTTACAGCTTAATTAAGAAAATCTATTTTTATAGGAATTAACCAAATCTTGTAACACAATGGTCACCTTGAAAGAAAAACGGGGCAGGATATCCCAAAGAAAGAACAATGGCAGAACCACCATCTTCCTAAGTCTAAGGATTAAATAGTCTATTTTACATGACTTTACCTTTATTTTTTTAAAACTTTTAAAGTGTAATAGGTGCACTACTTCTGTTTCCATCCCTACCAAAGAAAATTCACTTGATACGATTGAAAATTGTTGTAAATGGTAATTTGTACGACGATGTGGGATTCTTTTTATACATATTTTGGCATCAGTGTTCCGTAGTGACTCAATTTAGCTAACATTGTGACCCTGCTAGGATTTTTATGGATCTAGCAAATAACATGATTTAGTCTGGGTTCTGAGCCTTTTTGGTTGCCATTCCTGCGACAAAGCTGTGGCTGCAACGCTTGTGTTGTGTGGTTGCAGCTGTGCTGTTTGTTGCTTCAGCTAGCTGCCGTGCAGCTGTAGAAAATGCCAGCCGAACAGACCCTTTAACATCACTGGCTGATTTGGCCAATGGCGTTCATATCTCTGATCTCCACTAATTGTCACCTTTTTTTTTTGCACCGATGGCCTAAGCCTTGAACATCTTATAAGTGTACCATAGCCAGTGCCATATGTCCTTTTTTTGAAATCCTCACGCACTGGTGGCTTGTCGTTATGCAACCATTACAATCGCTATGTTACAAAATCCATTACGCCGGATTCTTTTGCAAATAATTCCACTATCTTCTTTGATATTGTACGATGTAAAACATCTACTCGAATCAATACAACCTAGCTGGAAATATAATGCCGTAAGTAATGCAAGGCGACACGCTATTCAACCCACAATAATCTCTGCAGATATGCTCCATAATCATCTTTGTCAACATTATCACCCATCCATAAACACTACAATGCATATTGTTTGCCTACTCTTCTTTGAGCGCAAAATGACCATCTTCTCCTCTACCAAACATGGGCTGAGTTCGTTTATTAGAGCTCCTAGCTCCACTCCCTTATATTTTCACGTGTATGTTTTTAAATATATATCTGCTATATGGTGTGCTTTTTTTAAAAAAAAACTTTGAAAAGTTGTTTTAAAAAATCATATTAATCTATTTTAAAAGTTTTTTTTGCTAACATTTTATTAATTATACGCTAATGAACTGTTCTGTTTTCTGTGCTAGAAGGGAAGGTTCCCAATAGGCACAAACAAACGCATTCCGTATGTGTTTAGTACTGAACTTACAGCTTAATTAAGAAAATCTCTTTTTTTAAGGAATTTACCAAATCTTGTAACAAAATGGTCACCTTGAAAGAAAAATGGGGCAGGATATCCCAAAGAAAGAAAAATGGTAGAACCACAATCTTCCTAAGTCTAAGGATTAATTAGTATATTTTACATGATTTTAGCTTTATTTTTTAACTTTTAAAGTGTAATAGGTGCACTACTTCTGTTTCCATCCCAACCAAAGAAAATTCTCTTGATACAATTGAAAATTGCCGTCAACGGCAATTTGCGACGACGTGGGATTTTTTTATACATATTTTGCAATGGGTGTTCCGTAGTGACTCATTTTAGTTAACATTGTGACTGTGAGAATATTCATGGATTTAGCAAATAACATGATTTAGTCAGGGTTTTATTTTACGGCCGATTTGGCCAAAGGCGTTCATATCCCCCCTCCATTAATTGTCACCCTTTTTTTCTTTTGCACCAATGGCCTAAGCCCCGAATACCTTATAATGTAGCCCGTACATAATCGATCACCACAACGCCAATGCCATGTGTCCTTTTTTTCGAAATCTTCACGCAGTGGCGGCTTGTCGCTATGCAACCATTACAATCGCTATGCTACAAAATCCATTACGCCGGATTCTTTTGCAATTAATTCCGCAATCTTCTTTGATATTGTACGCTGTAAAACATCTACTCAAATCAATACAACCTAGCTGGAAATATAATGCCGTAAGTAATGCAAGGCGACACGCTATTCAATCCATAATAATCTCTGCAGATATGCTCCATAATCACCTTTGTCAACATTATCACCCATCCATAAACACTACAATGCATAATGACCATCTTCTCCCCTACCAAACATGGGTTGAGTTCGTTTATTAGAGCTCCTAGCTCCACTCCCTTATATTTTCACGTGTATGTTTTTAAATATATCTGCTATATGGTGTGCTTTTTAAAAAAAAAACTTTGAAAAGTTGTTTTAAAAATCATATTAATCTATTTTAAAAGTTTTTTTGCTAACATTTTATTAATTATACGCTAATGAACTGTTCCGTTTTCTGTGCTAGAAGGGAAGGTTCCCAATAGGCACAAACAAACGCATCCCGTATGTGTTTAGTACTGAACTTACAGCTTAATTAAGAAAATCTCTTTTTTTTATAGGAATTTAGCAAATATTGTAACAAAATGGTCACCTTAAAAGAAAAATGGGGCAGGATATCCCAAAGAAAGAAAAATGGTAGAACCACAATCTTCCTAAGTCTAAGGATTAATTAGTATATTTTACATGATTTTAGCTTTATTTTTTAACTTTTAAAGTGTAATAGGTGCACTACTTCTGTTTCCGTCCCGACCAAAGAAAATTCTCTTGATACAATTGAAAATTGCCGTAAACGGCAATTTGCGACGACATGGGATTTTTTTTATACATATTTTGGCATGGGTGTTCCGTAGTGACTCATTTTAGTTAACATTGTGACTATGAGGATATTCATAGATTTGGCAAATAACATGATTTAGTCAGGGTTTTATTTTACGGCCAATTTGGCCAAAGGCATTCATATCCCCCCTCTAGTCACCCTTTTTTCTTTTGCACTAATGGCCTAAGCCCCGAATACCTTATAATGTAGCCCGTACATAATCGATCACCACAACGCCAATGCCATGTGTCCTTTTTTTTCGAAATCTTCATGTAGTGGCGGCTTGTCGCTGTAAAACATCTACTCGAATCAATACAACCTAGCTGGAAATATAATGCCGTAAGTAATGCAAGGCGACACGCTATTCAATCCGCAATAATCTCCGCAGATATACTCCATAATCATCTTTGTCAACATTATCATCCATCCATAAACACCACAATGAATTTTTTTCACCTACTCTTCTTTAAGCAGCAAAATGACGCTCTTCTCCTCTATGAAAACATAGGTAGCGAAATGACCGAGAGGGGTAGTATAGTACTATCACCCTTAACCCCCTCCCCCCTCTCTCTCTCTAGCATCACATTCTCTCTCACCCCTTTGACATTTTCCCCAAAAGTCAAGTGGGGACCTCTACCCATCCTCAAAACAGCCAAGGAGGGCGGCCATCTCCCCATAAAACCCCATCTTGCTCCCTTTTTAGACCCCCCCCCCCCCCCGGGATCCAATGCCCATCCCCACCACCACCACTCCCACCCCCCCCCTCTCTCTCTCTACCTACCTTTCTCTCTCTAGCAAAATACTAAGCTCAAAGTCAGCGCCCTAGCTAGTTTCTCCGAGGCGGCGAGATGGACGGCGACGCATGGTGGTACCCTGGCGGCGGCGGAGGTGGTGGTAGCAACAACTGGGATCTTGGCGCTGTCGTGAGGTTTGGGTGCGGCGGGGGACGGGTGAGCCCGGCGGCGGCGTTGCTGGGCGAGGCGTGGGAGTACGACGACGACCCGTTCTCGTCGTTCCTCGCGCCGCCCATGACGGCGCAGCAGGCGGCGCTGCCCGCCGTGTGGGAGGAGGGAGACGACGGGGACGCGGCGTGGATGGCGCCGCTCCCGGGGCTTCAGACCGGTGGTGGCTGGGGTGATCAGGCCCCCATGGTCGTCGACGAGCTCTGCGGGGCCCTCGTTGTGGCCCCTCCTCCACCTCCGAAGCAACAGGAGGTGCTTCAGGTCCAGCAGCAGCCGCCGCCGGCGGACAACACGCAGCCCACTACCTACCAGCAGGGATCCGGCGGCGACGGTGAGAGCACTCGCGCCGGCGGATCAAGGTCGGCGAGGAGAAAGTATGCGGCCTCCGCTATTTATATAGTCTCCGTTTGCTTTTCTGATTCTTGCATAATGTGGATTCGCTCGCTGGCTGATGACCGTGGCGTTCGCCATGCATGCAGGAAGAAGCAGACGAGAAAGGAGGTGGTGCGCGTGGCGGCGAGCGGGCCGGCGCCGGACTTGTGGGCGTGGCGGAAGTACGGGCAGAAGCCGATCAAGGGGTCCCCGTACCCGCGCGGCTACTACCGGTGCAGCAGCAACAAGAACTGCGCCGCCCGGAAGCAGGTGGAGCGCTGCCGCTTCGACCCCTCCTTCCTCCTCCTCACCTACACCGGCGCCCACTCCGGCCACGACGTCCCCCTCCACCGCAACTCCCTCGCCGGCACCACGCGCCACAAGCCGCCGCCGCCGCCGCCGCTCCCGTCCGCCGCCGACAAGTCTCCGGCCACCGCGGCTGAGGCGGCGACGGCGAGCCAGAGCCCCGGCCTGTCGCCGACCACGCCGCTGCGCGCCTCGTCCATGGAGCTCCACGGCGAGGACGACGCCGAGGCCGAGCTGCAGGTGGAGGAGGACGACATGGCCATCGACGACGAAGACGACGACGACGTCGCCGACGAGACCATCAGCACCGTGCCGTGGGGCACGCCCATCTCCGACGCGATCATCGCGGCGAGCTACGAGTGGAGATGACCACCACCACCTCGGCGACCTCGCCGTACATTGCCATACATAGCAAGCAATTCAGCCGTCTTAGAGAGAGAAATTAAGGGAAAGAGACAGAAATTAAAGAGAGAGTTGAAGGGAGCATCCGATCCATGCAGCTAGTATCTCCAACACCCAGTAGCACTAGTGTTTAATTACTTAATTAATTACTACAAGCACCTAGTAGCGTCTATTTACAGAACTACCTCCGTTCCAAAATAAGTGCAGTCGTGAATATCCGTACCCAACGTTTGACCGTCCGTCTTATTTGAAAAATTTGTGAAAAATTTGAAAATATTTAATCACACATAAAGTACTATTCATGTTTTATCATCTGATAGCAACAAAAATACTAATCATAAAAATTTTTCAAATAAGACGAGCGGTCAAACATTGAACGTGAATAGTGTAAAACTACACCTATTTTGGACGGAGGGAGTAGTACTTAATTAATTAGCTAGTGAGTGCTGGCCTGGATGCATGACAATCATATAATCAGACAATAATAATGTGTAATTAATCAAAATCTCCAACAGAAATAAAATTATCTTCATTTCCTCATATAGTTTCCTCAGTTTGTCCTCCTTTCTTGGACATGTTTGCGTCTTTTCTTACAGATTCTTTATTTCGTTTTGTGCAACATTTTCTTTTTTTTTCCATACATAGGAGTATAGATATGTAGTACATACATATGTACATAAATAGATCGAAGTAGTAACAGTATCAGCAGGTACCCAGATGATGGAACAGCTAATAATTAAAAGAGTTGAGGAAAAGAGGGGAAAAAAGGGGTGGGGTTTGTTGGTGTGGGTTGTGGTGGCTCTTCTTGTCTCATCCCTTTCACTGTGCCCATATTTGGGTGTGATATGTGGCTTTCAGTTCAGGCTAGCACTGCTGTTGTGCCTCTTTTTTGGGCAGATGAGGACCATTTGTAGTATGCATTTAAGGGTTTGCAATTTCGGTAACCACCGAAATTTTTATAATTTCGTGAATTTCCGTGTTTTCTTCACAAACTTATTTGAAATATTAACATATTTCCACTGAGTTTGAACACATTTTAATCAAATTCATATATATTTGAAAAATCTGAAAATTTTGGGGGAGATTTGTGTTTGACCGCTGTTTACACCCAAATTTGACACGTAGTAGGATATAAATATGAGAATATTGCCAATGTCTGAAGAGCGTCGGGTTTCCTTCATGGAGCCAGTCTGACCGCCGTCTATGGGCAGGTCTAATTGGTGGCATGTGGTCGGTCAGATAGACAGAGTCTGACGCCAAGCCAATTTTCGTCGGTCTCGAGTTTCCATACTCAGAATATATGTTTCAGGTTTTTATTGGTTTCTAAGTTAAGTTGGACATGAAAGACGACCTGTAGGAGGCATGACCAACCCCTATATAAGGGCCAAGACCGATTTAATTAGCAACACAATCTACTTCTAACACAATTAGCCAATTGTATCTTTTTTTAATATGCAGTTACCTTTTCACTTAGTTTAGCCTACTTTCATCAATCTTTATCGATTTGCGCTTTAAATCGTCCACTTTTGCCGTGAGAGTACGATTATCCTTTTGTAGATTTGTCCCATATATAAATCTTCCGTTCGCCAATGAGACGGGTAATTATCTTCAAATCGATTTAAATCAGCCTTGAGATTGATTTGATATCTAAATTGGCTTCACTAGCTAGTTTAGTCTTACAAAACCCATCTTGATCTAGTTTTGCTAGGTCAAGGTGGCTAGCGACTCAATCCATATCCCCGCAAGGTGTTTAGGTGTCCCGATCATGATTGTTTTCTTGCCAAAAAAAAAAAAAAGTTGCCAACGCTCGCATGTTAAAGATGATGCAATAGCAATGGAACGGATGGCATTTTAGTTCTCTCCTTTAATTTGTTCTTGACTTCTGCCACTAGCTACCATTGCATCTATTTTGCCAACTGTTCCTGCTTCTATCTGCTGGTGTTTTTTTTTGCTGGATTCAATGTGTTTTAAATTTGATTGTGTGGTGTGATTAATGTTGGTTAATTAATTACTCTTTACTGTACACTTTAAATTTCTATTTGATGTTAACATTTACAGTAGTTGAAAGTGTACAATACACTTTCAACCACTGCAATTGTTAACAATAAAGAGTAATTAATTAACTAGCATAAATTACACCATAAAGTCAAATTTTAAATACATTGAAGTATTTTTTTTTTCACATGTGAAAAAAGACACTGCTATTTATTGAGTACGACTAGCTTGTTGTTACTACTATGTGGTGCAAATAATATTAATCCCTTTAGTTTTTAGGTAAATTGGAACCATGCCATTATAATTTTGCAAAGTTTGAGATATGCCATCGGTATTTCAATGACACGTAGGACCCACATGAGTCAATGACATGTGGGTCAGGATGGCATATCTTAAATTTTGCAAAATTATAATGGCATAGTTCCAATTTTCCTTTTTTTACGAACCACAAAAAATATCTTTTTCCACATATGATTTTTTTAAACATTAACCAGTAGGTGACACAACTGAATTTTGTAAGACGCGTGAAATGCAAGTAGTAACTTGTTGTTTGTTATAAGAACATGTTCCATTATTCGGAAAGTTGATTCATCTAATTTCCTTCACAAGGGAATACTCTTACGCCCTAAAAGGGCACTAACAGCAGAATAATGCCGATTTGATATATACTTTTTTTTAACAAACTGTATCAAACTCTCCGTCTCTCATAATAAGGTACAAAAGGAGCTTTTTTATTTTCTAAAGATCAACTTACCTGCTCGAAAAAAGTTTGAAAAGTCACTTGAAAGCTTACATCACAATTGAAAGTGGCGAACCTATGTGCTTCTCTTAATCTCTTATCGGGTTTTGACAGCGGTGAACCTATATCCGAAGAACTCGTGTAAATTATTTGACTAATTAATTTATATTATGTTAATTAGTATAAATGATTAAATATGTATAGAGTCTAGTAATTTTTATTCTAAGTTCGGGATTGGCCAATCGAAAGAGTTAATCGATCAAAGCCGGCAACCTGATGAACAACAGTGATGATTCCTGTACGGGCGGCGGCAGCGGCAGCAGCAGCAGAACCAGCTCAGCTATGTTCGTTCATCGTGCAAATCGACCGTCAGATCTTACCCTAAAATTTTACACCCTATCACATTAAACATTAGAACACTTACATAAAGTACTCCCTCCGTTTCGAAATGTTTGACGCCGTTGACTTTTTATCATATGTTTGACCGTTCGTTTTATTCAAAAAATTTAAGTAATTATTAATTTTTTTCCTATATCATTTGATTAATTGTTAAATATATTTTTATGTAGGCATATAATTTTATATATCTCACAGAAGTTTTTGAATAAGACGAACGGTCAAACATGTGCTAAAAAGTCAACGGTGTCAAACATTTCAAAACAGAGGGAGTATTAAATATAAGCTAAAAAATAACTAATTGCACAGATTGCAACTACTTTGCGGGACGAATCTTTTAAACCTAATTGCTCTATGATTTGATAATGTATGCTATAGCAAACATGTGCTAATAACAGATTAATTAGGCTTAATAAATTCATCTCATGGTTTACTGACCGATACTGTAATTATTTTTTTATTAGTGCCCAAACATTCCATGCGACACCCTATATAATACCCGATGTGATATGCTAAAATTTTACCCCCCAGAACTAAACACCCCCTAATTCTAAGATGGAGATCTTTTTTTTTTGTCAATGCGTTCGTGTGCATGCAGTTGTGCAGTGGTAGCAGTTATCAGTGCTACCCCTAAATAGTAGCTTGCTAAGAGCCAGTGGTAGCAGTTATAGCAGGCTATATAAGTCAGCTATAACATCGAGAAGAAAAGAGAAGAGAGAAAAAAACGGGCTACAGATTTGTAGCCAGCTGCAATACGAACTCTAAGACGTTATGTGTGTATGAGAGGTAGGACCGGATATTAATGATATAGTATATTTTTATAGTTAACTATTGTATGAATTGGCTATTAGATTAGCTATAGGTGAATTGGAGCCAGTAGTTGGCTATTCTATTAAACTTGTTCTAAAAATATAAGAATATATAATGTTTCTTAGTACAATATATTTGGACATGTTTAGATTTATTGTACTATAAAATATTCCATTCAGTTTTAGATTATTGTATTTCGGGTCAGAGGGAGTACGGGTTTAACTTTTGTAGCCTGATCGATGATACGGTAGAAGCGGACGAGGCTTCTGTTTGTGTAGTTTGTACATATACCACTATACTGTAGGCTATAGAAAGTACTCCCTCCATAAGAAAAAAACAACGATGGTAGAATGTGACACAGTAGATTTGTTGTAATAAGATTGTCACATCAAAATACTAGGTTGACTTTTTTTTATAGAGGGAGTACGGCTCATATATTAGTGATTTAAGTGCAAACCGCGGATCCACTTTTATCATAAGCATGTATTGTGGGTTTTATATGTTCTAGCCCTTTTTAATTATTTATTATTACTATTTCCATTATTTTTGAAAAATAGTATGAATTTGTCGATATTTGATGTCGCGATTCCGGTATTTGCATAGAATGGGGATCGTTGGTACCAGGATACATGCGAGACTTAGGTAAAAGAGATAGAAACGATGATTTTTATACAGGTTCGGGCCCCTGAATTGTCAGGTAATAACCCTACTCCTGTTGGCCGAAGCCGGTCGTTGCTCTTATTAACCATAACCCTACTCCTATCTAACTGTTGTCGACTTGGCGGTCTGAAGTGCTGACTCGTAGTCGACAACAGGGTAGCCTTACTCCTCGAATCCGCATCCGGCAAGATCAAAGACAGCGCTATGTCTCTCCTATCAGTATCCGTAGACACCGTAGGGGACTAGCCATGCTAATCTCTGAAGTCGATATCCGGCGTCTTGTCTTGACGTATGTTAGCTTGTATATTGATCTTGTGTATTGATCTATTGTTCCGTGTCCCCTCTCCTCCTAGGGGGCCTTGTATTTATACCCATAGGTGTCCGCTTGTCCAAGTAGAACTAGGGAAACCAATATGGATACAATCACAGTAGTCCTTATCGTTTCCATGTAGAACTCTGGTTGTCTTTCCTTATCCGGAACTTCTCCTATATCCGAAGGTTGTTTCCGTATAAGACATGGTATATGGTGGGTCCTGCCGAGATTTAGTCGACTATTATTAGGTATATGGTATCCATAACCCTGACAGAATTACCCTACTAAACTATCGCGGTCGACCGAATTACCCCCGTAGACTTGAAAACTAGATATTTTACACCCCAAACTATTGAAACCGAA